GCGTACACGCGGCGGGCGTCCTTGGCGCGCTGCAGGAACACTGCGGCGATCGCCTCCGAACGCACGTAACCGTCGCCTGTCCATAGATAGACTCATTAGTATTTCCTGGTGCGTCAACTGTAAAATTCATTAGTCTTGTAAGTGTGGTGCGAGTGTTTAGCGCGGGAGGTGGCGGAGATTTCCATCTCGGGCACCAACTTACAAATCGGATCGCAAGGTTTTTTCCAACCAGGCATTTCCTACCTGTTTGCCAGATGGCGCTATTGAACAAAACTAAATATTCATGTCAAATTCAACTCGCAACACTCGGCAGAATATTATTTTGAATCTATATTGTTTAATAACTCCTAAACAAAGCGTTCTACGGCATTAAAAAATTATCTTTTGAGGCCAAAGGCCACGAACAACCGGTTATTACCCCGTAATCTGTAGGATGAAAAGGACTTTTTGAATATTCTATTACATTTTTGCAGGGGATAGGGGGAAAGAGGGGGAGACGAAGAGAAAGGGTGATGATATGCAACACAACGTTTCCGGTTTCAGTTAATAAAGCGTATTTCAGTGTACCGGTATCAAGAGTTTAGGAAGAAATGGACAATAATAGATTCTTCTGAATTTCATCGATCTAAATAAAAAATATTTTAATACACTGGTATCAAGAGTTTGAGAAGAAATGGGCAATTAAAAAGATGAAATTTAATAGATGCCACACAAAATCTTTATAACAATAATATGTTTCTAAAAAAATTGCTTGACTGTCTCTCATGTATTCCCTATCAATACAGGCCTTCGGCTTGGGTGTTGTCTGTCCCCTACACATTTCAAAGTATATCGAAGTAGGATTTTACTGGGTTGGCAGAAACAATGGTGTGCTGTGAGGATGCCAATACAAATAATTAAACTGTATACGTTATACTTTGCAATGATCACTTGGTGACTCTTGAAGATGTTGATGAACCAAGTTACAAGACACGTCCACTGAATTAATTTTATTTATAAGCTGGGTGATAACAAGTTATACACCAATATCACTGTAACTCCTGGTGTTCCTTAAAAAAAAATTGATGTATCGCACCGTTTTTTATTATTGCGTATTTTACCACGTGGAATCAAATGTTGTTTGTATATAAAAAACATCATTCGAAGACAAAATTGGAGAAGTGTCCCACACTTTCTTCTTCTATTTTCAGTTAAGTTTGTATACCAAGTTCCGCTTATATCAAAGAAACTTTTGTAAAATGGCAACATTTTAGGTGAAATGGATTTTCTGTTTATTTGACTCCGTTTAGCACTAATGTCCTGTAGGACGATTACAGTTTTGCAACAATATTTCCTTGTCCGTTATTTATATGCAAATTAAACAGTGTTTTTGTAAAACATTTTTGCTCTATTTAGTGAAACAAAGATCGATTTTTCCTTATTATAAATACACATTACTTATTTCTGCAAAGTCACTGACAAGTAGTGTTAAAAATTCCATACTTCAACAATAAATAGCTTCCGTACAAGAAAATAATATAAAACCTTTCCTATAATATACAATTTTCTCTGAATACGTAATATAACCCCCCCACCTCTTATTTGTCAAAATTTAAATGCGAGGTTGATTTTGGCGAGTTTGCTTCAAATTAACCAATGTGGGTTTGTAAGGGAAAAAATATTTAACTTCATTGAATAAAGAAAAAAAGCTGTTCAAGTAAACCCAGTTTCGTTTGTGTAGCAATAACAGAAATGAAAATATGGTTTCCCAAAGTTGCGAAAATTTAATAGTCGCATTTTAGCATATATATCTGAAAAACTATTTCATCAACAAAGCATCATATTCACAAAATTGGGACAGATGGAACTAGATACTCAACATTTCACTAAAATTTACGATGGTCATGGGGAGCAATTTTTCAAAATTGTCTCGGAGTAAGCGTTTTTCAATATCCAGAACAACTTTTCACTCTACACGATTAAACAATTTACTAAAACTTAACGAAAGCACGTTTAACGCAATAATTATTTTACAAGAACACCTTTGGTGTATTCTGTAGCACTAAAGGGTATTTGGTATACCAATTGGTAATTGGTATATCCTACTTCTGTGGAAAATATTTTTGTAGGGCTGACGTTATTTTTTCAGTCCAATTGTGCACATTTTTCTCACCGTCTTGGTCGAACGGGCGGCTTTTTCCTTTCAATGAGAGTACTCCCAGCCGCCTGAACTGCAGCGACAAGTAAGGGTGCAAGGTAAGGTTGGTGCCACCCACCAGCGCGCAGTCGATGTGTCCGTTCCTGATGGCTTCAAAGGCCTCGTGGAATGCATACAAGGACGAGCTGCAGGCAGTGTCTTTGGTGCAGGAAGCTCCTACAAAAGAAAATAACATTTTCTCACATTCTGTGGAGATGTGGCGTGATTTGATTGAAGAAACTTTTTGAATGACTTTTATTGATTTTCGTCATTCATTTATAAAATTTAAATTTGTCAAACCATTCTTATGCATATGGTATCAATGAACATGTTGAGAGACTAAATATATCATGGGGACATTCGAAATTAACATCACACGTAGGTAATAATTAATTTAATGTTAGTGATGTGTGTAAGAGACTGAGAGAGACACTTCGTTTGCGTCATTTCGCGTAAGGCCGCAGCACGTACGGGAAGTGAAGAAATTAGGGCCATGCTGCGATCACCTCCCCTCGCGAGGGGCCGACTGCTCTGATGCACGCGTGCGCCGGGCAGAGCCGGCCAAGCTACACGGGTGCCTAATCGCAGTGTTTCCGACTTGCTTCGATACGTTGGCGCGGAGGAAGACGGCACAGAGCAAGTTTCAGAGCCAGACGGTGATTTACTTTTTATGTCAGTAGCAATGTGCACATTTTGATAAGCAGAAGACATTTGACAATTTGAACTTGTGGCTCTATAGCGCGATGACAGCGATATTGGCATTGAGCGACGGTTGACGGTAATTTACCGTGCGTTTTATTTCAGTTCAACTTTGGCTATAGAAACGCGTGCACTGATAACCGCGAAACATTTCTCCATTGATTCAGGTTTTACTGGCTAATTTTTAAGTTCACTTTTGAATGTTTGTCTTGCTCGTTGTGGTGTTTGTTCCTCGTGACTTTTTCGTACACGAAAAACTCGGACTTTTCGAGCAATCATTTTAAAGACATTATAAAAATGAGGGCTCTTTGCTCTGGTTCAGCTTACTCATTAGCTAAGTTTCCCGCGCCTCTTGAAAATTCAATGCGTTCTTAATTCTGATTGGGGGAAAAAAGGTTTCTTTATGCCTGAATGTAAAACGTTTCTTTCGCCTGAAGAAGGTTAACATGAGCATGCCAATTGAATTTTACGGATGTTAAGAGTTTGTGACTTTGAGGTGCTGAGCGTGCTTCTTCGTCGAGTGTCTCTATTGCGTCTAGGTGGGAGGAAGGGATTGCAATGCGATGTGCCTCATCTACTGTTAGTTTGATGTTATGCAGTGTAAATCTGTATCTTTTGGCTGTTCGTTTGCCTTGTTGGGGTGATGGGTGGATGGTGTGGGTAGAGTCGTTTGTCGGTGGCAACTGGTGCCAGAGCGCCCTCATTTTAGACTTGAAGTGATTAAAGGACGGTTTTTATGATTCTTATGAAAATTTTGGTGCAGATCTGACTTGAGAAACTGCACGCAGTGTTGAGGTCGACGGCTTGCGCGGATCCGCGCCACGAGGACAAGGGCGATTCCTCTCGAAGCAGAAGGGCGGTCGAGAACTCTGAAGGGGAGAGGGTACCATGAAGTGGGTCAATTGATCAATTTTAGTGTTTTGGCTAAATAAGTAATTCAAACCTTGCTCTTCCCAAATATATCACTATTTTTTTCTGGGATGCTTGGAAGTCTCTTTAATTCTTATTTACAGGTCCTAGTGCGCATGAGCCGTGCCCCTTTTTACTTTCCCGTATACGTAAGTATATACGGGGTAACATAAAGAGTAATATACGCAGTAATATACGAAGTAGAAGAAACGTTATATAATGCCGAAGAAAATATATTTCGAGAAAATACACACACACACAAAAAAAGTTTTATTGAAAACGTCCACCTGTCTGTCTGTCTGTCCTTCTGTCGATCCGTCAGTCTTATGTATATGAACAACATTAGCACCTAAACTATGAGTGCGATTTTTCCAAACTGAGTAAACCCCTGTCGATCTGGCTTGCGGCGAATCTCTGCGGTTTTGAAAAACCTTCATTAATTTTTGGTACTACTTTACATGAAGTCGCCGGAAACTTTATTGAAAACGGCTACAATTTGTTTCTTTAAATGACGGGTGAGAATAGAGTAAAATACATTTCAAAAGGTGTCATAGGTCCAATTTTCAAGGTTAACTCTGAATTTTTAAAATATTGTTAAGGTTGCATTATTTCTGGCGTTTTCCTACAACTACAAAATTAAAGATAGAGATTTTTCCTTCGAATGAAGTTTGTTGTTCATTATCAGTTCTTTCAATAAGGTCATGTACATTTTTTGATAATTTTAGAAGTTTTCGTGCAATATTGCGAGCAATATGCGCAATTTTTTTAAAATTATCAAAGCAAGGTTTTCTCAAAAAAGTGTTAAAACATTTATCTTTTAACTTTTGGTATCCATTGTGCTAAATTTATTCTCTAAAATGACGTAAACGCCACAACTTTCACGTCGGTGATATTTGCATAAGCGGAAATTTGTTCACATTATTATATTTATATATTTAATTAATATAATTATATTTATTATATTTATAAGTACATGAGGTTTAAATCCACATAAGCTACATAAAGTTTCTCGAAAACTCAACCGATTTCTGTGAAAACTAGCTCAAAATTCCGCATTTTGAGAAACGTTCATATGCTATCTTCCCAAAAACATGCTCCAAATTTTTTCTGCAAACTTTTCGAAAGGATAGTGCTAATTGCACTCCTTAATATGATGTAAAATTAATTTCACTGTATTTTTTGTTTTTCCAAAAATTACACAAATCTAATGGTTGTTAAGATCTCTTACGCCATTAACGCACACATTTCCAGCATTTTGTAAATACTATTATATTTGTGAGTTAAAGTGCTTTTTATATGACTTCCAAAGAAGTTTTTCAAAAACAAAAGAAAAATTTCTTCAAATTTCGAACTTTCAGCAGCGTTTAAATGCCTCTTCTTAAATACGGCTCCAATATTTTCAAAGAATATTGCCATTAGGACGAGTTTTTACTATGGTTTAATATTCTTAAAATAATATTTACGTTTAACTAATAGAAAACCGACAAATTAAGACATTTTTAAAAATATGTGCTTTGGGCGGCAATAGAGCAGGCAAGAGTATGTGGCAAGTTCGAATAGCTAGCCGAGACCAAAGGAAACAGAAAACTAATATGGGAAAGTCTGTGCCATTCTGTAGCCCAACTAGTTTGACAGTGCATATAAATACAGCTATTTCTTCGTAATTTTGAGCGCATGTTGAGTTGTTAATGAAATATTGAAAAATGCTCTTGTTGGTCTTTTTCGCTGAAAAAAAAATGATCTAGAATACGCGGTACAAAAGTTTTAGTTCACTAGCGGAAAGTACAGACTTTTTTAAAATGGTATTTCCGGACAATATATTTATTTAGTAATTAATGTACCTTTTCTCGGAAACTATTATTCACAATTTATTGAAACTTACAGTATACATTCTTTATATAATATTGACAATAAACTGAAGTTTGTATTTACAAATTCTTTAATAATAAAAAATGAAAAAAATATGTTTGTTCAAAAATGCTGAAAAAATTAGGGCAAAATTTATTATTGAAAAAATACTAGATATTTTTTAATCAACTCAAAAAATGTCAACATTATAACAGTTTTTTGTCTCTAAGTGTGTGAAATAAATATTTTTTTTAGTTAACCAAGGTACTTCAATAGAAGCACATTTAACATGGGCGGTATACATGATACCTTTTCCCTTTAAGGATCTCGTTTCCAAGAAAATTATTTACACATACTGCAACTGTACAATGCTTCTCGCAAGTATAAAACACCGCAGAGGTTGGTGGCGCGCACTAGTGTACGAATTACGAAGGGAGAAAGGTCTTTGCTGATTGAGCCTTTGCATATCGGTGAACGTGAGCTAGAGGAATAGCATTGGAAAACTGAAATTATATAATAAGGCTATAAATGCTTTAAGAGATAATCTGTCTTGTAATTTAAATTATATCTTCAGATAAGAAATATGGTAAAAATGTTATGAAATAGAGGACATTTTAATGCAGAATGAGAAAAGGAGGAGAAGAATACGTGTTCGTAAGAGAATCAATAACTCATAACGACGTAATTAATATTTCAGCTTTCCTTTGGGGAGAAGAAGCCCATTACCATTTTTTCAGAAATCGAGTGATATCTGGCATGGCTTGCAGAATTTGTGACATGAAAGACTGGAGACGTCGCCATTGATTCATGAAGAAATCTATTCATGCAGCGAAGTACGATTTACGAAGTCATCTTCAACGATAGTGTATGTAACTAACCGAATGAGTTGTTATATATTTTGTATTGAATGAAATTGCGAAAGGCGCCGAGGGCGACCTTCGTGGCACAACAAGGGTTAGCAAGAAAGCGCTTCGCCACATAGCGAGGGAAATATTAATGGCACTTTGCAACGTCAGAGAGTCGGTTATACCGGGATGAAAAACTGTTAGGAGTTTCAGAAATATAGGGAGTTGAATAACGTGTATATATTTTGTAGAAAATTAAGACATATTAGAATTTCAACAGTAAAGGAATATGTTATTTGGGTAAATTATTTTAACCATATTCTGCAACAGTTGCAGTACGTGTAGTAAAAATTGTAGGAAGGATCATATAGATACCGTAGGAACATTTACATTTGAATTAGGAAATAATATGAACATTAAACGTATCCGTTCTTTCATTCATTAAATTCCTTGTGTTAAATTTCTTATTCCAATGATTAAAAATGTTTAATTGGAGAAAATGAAAATAAAAAAATGCAGATAAACAATTTAAACAATAGTTCATAAATATTTGAAAAGAGTATACATTTTGTTAGATTGTAAATAGTGAAAATATCATATTCCATCAATTTGAATGTCGCAGTATTAATTTTTAATGGTGATATTTATTTGTATGTTAATGTTTGGATAGTAAAAGAGTCATTTGAATCTGTTATAGTTAGTACTTACATTTTGCTAACATATAAGATATTTGATCAGAATATAACATCAAGTTATACGTAATGACCTCTTTTTTCTGATATGTTGATCTAGATCAAATCAAGATCTCCGTCCCGATCTTTCATGCTTTTTTTTTGTTTTTTAGAATCCATTATTTCATGGTTGCATTTAAAATTAGAATACCTTTCGGCTTTTAAACAAAGAAGTTGCAGTAAGGGACGCTTGCAATAAGTAAGATAGGTTTGCACTACAAATAAAATAGGGATTCTTAGTCGAGATACAGAAAGACATGCTACCAAAGAACATTCTAACTCACCTTTAGCTCCCAACCAGTACGAGACCCGGTTAGCCAGCATGGCGCGGCTGCAACCCGTGAGGCCGAAGCCTGAGAGCTGGAGCTTTTCGTAAAACCAGAACTTCTCCGATTCCGAGTAGCACGCGCCCACAAACACACCCATGCGGCTGCCACGCAGAGTTCGCGGATTCACTCCTGCAATGAGTTTTACTAGTTAGTTATATATGTTCTGTTTCAGCACATAGTGAACATAAGCAGAGATATAGCAATATCTACAAGCGGCTGAAACACTCACCGCGTCCACGATGGCTTCGTAGAGCGCTCCAACAAAAAGACGGCACATGGGATCCAAGGTGTGTGCCTGCTTGAAGTGGACGCTGAAGAAACTGGCGTCAAACTTCTCCAGCCCGTTGATCTTCCCCTGCGCGGCAGAATCTCCGGGTGTTCTTGAACAGACAGCAGCGCCAGCTTGGCCCCTGCGCATCGGTCCTCGCTCGCCGACTGCCTCAACTCTGTCTGAGTTCCTGCCCGTCTCGATGCATCCCCGTCCCGCTCTCACCCTTGTAGAACGCCCTCCTCTCCACCCCCTCAATCTCGTTCCCTCCCAATATTTTCCCATCCGTCCCTCTCCTCACTCAGCTGTCTGAAATCGCCACGTTCTGCCTGCGTCGCCGCCTGCGAATGCGCTCACCGTCGCTCCAGCGGCGGTCGTCGGCCGTGAGAGGTCTGCGCCGCGCAGCAGCGGTCCCGCAGCGCCTGCACGTCGTCGCATTCTGGAAGCGCCCGCAATTCCATAAGATTCACCACCTGCGTGCGAATGCCAGAGCAGCAATATGACAATCCAAGCGAAGGTCAAGTGTAACGTTTCTGCATTTTTGGTTAATTTGCTTCATGTTGGGTATTGAGAGTATTTTTACAAGGCAAACGTATAAGATGAACGAGGAAGAAAATCAAAGGTAGTTTGAGCAAGGAAAGATCACTTGAGTACGTCTTTACGCCGTATTGTGAAGAGTTGAACACCACGATAGATGTCTACATCTCGTAAAAGATAATTTATGTAGAGTAACGAAATCACGGTGCTAAGAAGTTAGCGGAACGTATATTGGTGAAACTGGAATCACAATAGCTCCACTATTGGTGACTTATGGGTGTCTGAACGAAAAAATTGGTGTTTCATCGACGGTGTTAATGCCCATGAACACCGGCGCACTTGTGCTACTGTTTCCTTTCCTCTCTCGTAGCTGATAAAGACATTGCAACTTAACCCGCCCGAATTGTTACTAATACATGCGTTGTGTTGTGAGTAAAAATACTTATGAAATACACTACGTATATTTAAATGGTATAAGAAATGAAAAGCTGATAATAAATACAATTAATTTGGCTGAGAATTCTCATAAATAAACATTAGATACATCAGACAATATGACAGATACAAGATATATAATATAAATCATTAAAATGATAATATGAAAGGATACTATGAAGAGATCTGGTTGATGTCATCTTACGAGAGTAACGAATCTCGTTGGGATCCTGTTAGTGATTTGACTATATTTAGTGTGTTTAAGTGTTTCATTACTTGTTGTAAGTTACCTGAAAATATAATTTCGGCTAATTTTTATGCTATAACAAAAACAAACAAAAGATAACAAATTTTAAGCGGTTGCTGGAATCTAAACGAACTTAAGATTTACGAGTTGGTGATAAGCGTCAAAACCTATTAACAGTTTTTTTTGATATTATATCACTGTGCTAATTTAATTACACTGATTTTATTATATTTCTATGACGATTCCGTTAAATTGAACTTTACGAGGACGATGTGTTTAACAGTTTTGAATTTGTGTTCCAAATATTATTTATTCTATATTTTCAACACATTTTCGGTAAATAACTTATATATATTTACGGTAAAGTATAGTGTACTAGTAGTATTAAATATTAGCCACTTAAGTTGGCAACAATCTACATAACCACATTGCCAAATTCCGTAAGTACTAGCTTTCATTCGATTTTCTAATTAACACCCCTCCTCATTCTATTATCGAATCATAATTTTTAATTTATTGAATCAATCTTACACTTTCAATATATTAGGCTTGGTGCACGTTGCTCTTATATGAGTTTCTTGTATTAATTACAATTTTATAAGGTACATTAAAACGCATTCGCAACATGGCTACTAATAGTTCTACTCTTTTTACTCTCAACACCCTCAAAGCCGACCTTCTGCAAGCCTTCACACACATACACAGTAATTTAGATCAACAAATCGGAAGGTTGAAAAAGGTCGTACTATACAAAAAAAAAATCTGGTAAAAATCGGCAACACTACGAATTTTCCCAGCGGAGCACCCGTGACTGCACAAAAGACACAGACACCACATCCAGTTGCAACTCAAAATAAATGTAGTGTTTTAGATTATGAAACATTCTCCTCGCTTTTCTTATCCTAACACCACTCTCTACCATCGACAAATACATACACAAACCAACGCAAACAGGCTAGGAAGCGCGTCAAAACCAAAATACGCGTAGCTGCTCATCCTAGCCCACTTGAAAACAAAGACATTCCTACTGAGCCTAAAAAACAAGAACTTATTTTAGCTGATAGCAATGGCCGCAATCTTTTCTCCATTCTGAGTAGGAGGTTACCCTCCAACTACTCAGTCTCATTTATTTTTAAACTTAACGTTTGCAGACGTGACCATAGAGTTGTACACACACACAAAGACACTGACCAAGCAGGATTATCATAGGAGGGCAGAATGAAATTAATTTGGGCGGTAACATTACTCCTGAATATGTAAACAAATCACAACGTGCCGCCCAAAATACTAACTTTGTAGTCTCGACTCTGCCCTTCTGGTACAACAGACCAACACTATGTAGCGAGATTTAGCACACAAATCAACAATTAAAACTACAACTGTGAGAAACAAATGTAAGACTTTTTGAAATCAATTTTCTCACAGCAAAACACTTCAACCGGCATGGTCTCCACATTATCCTTACTGGAAAATATACAGTCGGCATCAAGCTTACACAACATAACATCTCCAGTCCTACGCAGTCTCCTTTCAAAAATTCAACCTTTTCACCTTCATTACGTTCTCCATCCCAATCCTTATATAGAACCCACTTACCACCTACTCTGGCAGCAGTGACTTTCGTTTCTCCTATTCCCACTACTAATTCACCTAAATCTGATGCCCCATTATTATCACAACCTGACACTGCTGGAACACATTGCAACCTTCGACCACGCAGTCGAGGTAAAAATGGAGTAAATATATAGAAATTACTGTCAGATGCAGTACAAAAACATCTGTGTAGGTATTTGCAAATATTCATATACTGCACCATAATGTTCATCCCTTTCAAATAAAACTGAATTTATCGAAATAGCTCCACAGAGCGATTTAAATCAAATGGATGTACTCTGCTTTTTAGAACATTGCTTATTTCATAATGAATTTAGAATATTCCAAATTTCAAACTTTTACCTCGTAGGCTATTATTATAGAGCAAAGCAATCGCATAAAGGTCTTGTATATGGGAGTTCTTGCATTTACGTTAGATATAATATCGTTTCTATCTCCTGGACGGAATTAAATGTATATTCCGTTGAAAATGTTTTTGAAATATCTGTAGTACATTGTCCTCCATTATGTACACACCTTTCCGATTCTTTGCCAATTGCATGTGTAGTTTCACAGGGATCTATTTTAGGACATATTCTCTTTCTACTATACGTAAACGATATGCTCTCGACGATTAGAAACGGAAGGACAGTTCTCTTTGCGGATTAAACGACTATTCTTTGAAATAAACCGTAAATAGTACAATATCAGATATTTCAAATCGGTACTGTAAGATCAAATTAATAGTAAATGAAATGAAAACGGTTTCAATGCAGTATTCCATTTCAAATAAATAGCTCTGTATTCCATTGAAAATGAACGGTGTGCCATTAACAAAAATTTGGGTCTTTCAATTCAGACATACCTTCAACGGAACGCCCATTTAAATGAATTGAACACTGAATGAAGGTCTTTATGCCAAGCTTTCAGAATTATTTTAAATTCAGGCAGCCTCAATACTGCTCGTTGTGTATATTTCGCGAATGTTCATTCTCGCCTGAGATATGGCATAATGTAGTGGGGAAATACATCTAATAGCTTTCAGACTTTTAAATTACAAAACAGAATTGTACGAATAAAAAGTAAATCACACCAATTTAATTCTTGGAAGTCTCTCTTTATTAATCTAAGTATTTTACAATTACCTTATCTTTTAAAATATGAAAAAATGGCTTTGTCAAAAATGACTTTCTTGGGGGGCGGGAACATTTTCAGCAAACGCTGATGTTTATAACTATAACATTCGACGTATTAATCATATTCACTAGGTGATAGTATCAACAGATCACTACGAAAAATTCACATATAATACATGTACATTATTTTATAACACCTTTCCAGATGACATTAAACGATTAAATTCGATACAAAAGTTCAAGTCCCAAGAAAAGTCTTTTCTGCTGCACAACTATTTCTTTACAACTTGAGACTATACCGCCTAATATATTTGAGACTATATTGCCTAATAAATAGGCAAGGCAATGGTAAGATTCCGAGCTCAATGAAGTGAGACTTGCAGGGATCACACGGATGGAATTTTTTCATTATTCGAATAATTTTCTTTTGCAATCTGAAAATCAAGGTACTACATGATGAGCTTGCCCAGAATAGTACGTCATATCTCAGACGAGAATGCACATTTGAAAAATACACGCAATAGCTGATGAAGTGTGAGAGAATTTGAAAGAATTCGGAATACATAACATTATGAACTTAATTTAGTGTTTAATTTTGTTATATGCACAATCCATTTTAGGTTTAACTGAATTGAGAGATCTAGAAATTTTGTTACCTGAACATCAGCTAATTACAAATTGTTCATTTTCAATGGAGCACGCGATTGCTGATTTGAAGTGTACAAATACATTGAAACGTTTTCCTTCATAACTATTAATTTTTTATTACAAAATCAATTTGAAACTTCTGAAATCGTACTATTTATTGTTTCTTTTTTGCAAAGAAAATTCGTGTGATCGGCAAACATTACTGTTTTTCTGTTTTTAATAGACGACGGCATATCGTTTACGTATAACATTACGTATACCAATGCCACCTATATTTCCACCCTTGGTGATGGTGGCCATCTGTGTAACGTCGTGCTTAGAATGCTTTTATTACTCTATGTGATACTATTTACGCTTTCTGTGTACACTGTGGTTTGCGCAGACTGACGAGGTTTATATGAATAATTATATATTGAAGATTCGCTCTCGCAGTAACTGGAACTACTATTATTAGTTGCTTGATGCCGTTGAAGATTGTTTTTATACGTGTAGTGAAAACATTCATTTAACGTTTCGCCGAGGTCTACAAGTGCTGTGTACCTAATTGTGGAGGGATGTGGGTGTACAGTGAAGAGTGACATGTCTTGTTAGGTTTGGTTTGTGTTTTACCTGCACCAGTATTTTCCTTATCAGTGTTCATTCGGTGAACCTTTCAAGACAGCGTATTCCGTTACGTAACTTTCTCAAGAGTAAAGGGTTTAAAAAAAATATTTTTGTGACTATCACGAAAAGTGAAAATCTAACTGGCAAATAATAATTGAATAATTACTTCAAATATTTTTAAGGGAGTGCTGTGAACTGTGCCAAGAAATCTCTCGATAATGAATAAATCTTTAGTGAAAATTTCTTTTCGACATCAATAGCATTATTTTTTATATTTGATATTGTGTTAGTTGAATGGAAGTTACCTTAAAACATTTTTAAACAATTAAATACGTTTCGGTAACAATTATCCCTCTTAGAATGGAAATAGAATAGGTAAGAGTGTGGGGTTTAACAGGCAAGAGTTCTCGCAGGTGTACGCGGCTGTACTAGGGAAAAATTGTGCTAAGGCACAACACAAAGAACAAACTTTATAAATTAACTGAAGTAAAATATATTGAACTAAATGAGCAACAAAAATCAAAACACACAAATTTACAAAAATATATGAGTTAATTTAAAAAAGTACCCAAATTTACAATTTATTGAAAGAAAATGTATAAAAGAATAGCGCAAGTAATTTGGGGCTGCCAACAATCTGAATCCAGACGCACGGTTTAAATGTTGGACGTATCTGGAAGACTGCACTTTAATAATTTAAGACTGCCAAGCTGAAAACACTTATTGTAAATAATACAGCGTTCAACATTGAACTTGAGGTGTCGGTTCGCCAAGATATTCAAGACGTAAAAATCGTTTGAGCAATATTCCCATGTACTGAAATGAAATCTAAGCCTTCTGAGTTGTTTCTAATGGTAACAAATTATTGTGGTGTTTGGTATGGTATTTTTCTCAAAGATGAAAATATTAGTTTTATTATTTTTTGGGTCGGCTTTTCTTGAGGTACGTAAGAATGCAGAAAATAATCCAATTTTTTTAGTGTACAAATAATTTTCCTTTTTTCGCACCCCAGCGAGCTGGCGCTCTGCCTCTCCAAAACCCCCTCTGTTCCTCATAAATGCAGTAAATCCATTTTGATTTATATTATATAAGTACGAAATGGCATTTATACATTTCTTTAACAAATGAATACGATTTTTAACTTTTAACAATTTTTCATCTTAATGGAAAGGGTAGGGGAAGATAGGGATTAACATGCCAGATTTCTCACACGGGTACTGTTAAGTAGTATTACTATTACTATTATGTACGAATACTTAGGTAGTTATGGAACTTTAAGGAAATAAACGTAAGAATACGAAAATTATCAGGTAATGCAATACTTTTTTTTCCAATAGTGTACATAATTGCTTCATTGATAACAACTCAGATTTTCTTAGAACTTTAAATGTGATCTCATCTGCGGATCAGAAAAGCGAAGATAGGCATTTTGTTCGTGTTCAACTCTGTGAAATGTGGTGGCAAAGGAGGACCACAAATGAAAGTGGCGTATTCAAGGATAATCGCGTATAAAGAAAAAGTTAATTGAAGTTTATTTTCTGATTACTTAAGCAGACGTCTGCTTTGATCACTAGTTTTCAGTGGTTTCTCCAATCAACACCACGCGAATGCCAGAGCTGCACTCTAATAAACGGGTCACGGTCCGCGCGCGTTAAATTACACTAACATGCACTACTATCGCACATGCTGGGAGATCGGTTGGGAGCATGGAGCTTGTCTCCTCTGTGGCGGAGTCCCGCTAGTGGGAGATATCTCCTTGGGGAGAATCCCCGCAAGAGGACGGGAGGGACTCCGCCGATTTTCGCCATTCAGCGGGGGAAGACCACCGAAATCTCCCATAGTCAAAAACCCATTTACGGGACTAATGTTCTTGGAAGTTGACTAGCCCACTAATCAATCAATCCAAGGCCAGTCAAAATGTTCGACCATGGCTGTTTCAGTGGCTTCTGTAATTAGATAGATTTAACAGGTGAGTATTTTTCGCAGGGTAGAATGCAAGACTACGCGTAATGTTAAATTGATGTTCGGTATTCACAAGGCAATGGAATTTTCCTTTCCTTTCAGGATTTCAAATGGGCAGACATAATCCCCAGTTTTTTAGGGCTAAAATATTGTACCTCCACGCTTCTTCATTAATTATAGTTAATTATTTTCTTCCCTTCACTCCATACTGTTTTGAAGCATGAAGCAACCTCTATTGGTACAGGAGATGATATCACTTTCAATAAATTAAAAATCATTGGAATGATTTAATTACAATTGATTCAGACATTGATCATAGAAAAGCAACAAACAAATCTGAAACCTAAACACATTACAATATTAGCGTTAGACAGTTTGGTGAAAAAAATAAAAACATACCTCGCCACCTGATACAGAAGGCAAACAGCGTCCCAATTTCTCATCCATCTGTTCCGTGTGGTTTATTTGTTGCGGTATCGGTCGCTGCTCCGATCTCGTTTGCGTTGGAGCCATCTTTGATGAAAAGTGAAGTACACAAAAACACTCCTGCTTGTATAAAATTAATCGTTTAAGGTTGCTGGCAGATAACCTGTGAAATAACGAATTTAATAGTTAAATATATTTTGAAATGTCAAGTATTCCCATTATACCTTTCCACTGTAGTTCTGCTGTTGAAACCAAGCCGTGGAGTGGATTTGTGGTTATAGTCCAGTAAAGGAGGTCCCAGGCAGAGAGTATATCCCAGGTGTGTCAAGGAACAATTAACTTGCAATGGCAACGTGCAATACACATTATAATTTACAGACATTTGATGATACCGTGTGTCAACGATGCTAAATATTATGCATACACTTTAATGACAACTTATAACAGGCACTCCAGTCATTGAAACTATAATAGTATTTAGTGGTAAGTTCAGTCATACTTGTAATCGTAATTCTAGATTCAATAAATATTTTTAAATGCACACACTTTTATTTAACCACTCATTTTTATTCCTCCTTTCAATTTTTGTCCTATATAAAAATTAGTTTTGCTCTGTATTTTGCACGTTTCTCTAATCTATTGAGCTACTAGAGAAATTAGCACAAGGAGCATGCAGCCCAACCCATACTCTGGACCGCCATTGTTATTACCAGCCCGCATCTAGTCAGCAAATAGAGTCATGAATTCAAAAATAAGATAAATTTATTTAAACTGCAAATGGGCATAACCCGGTGGCACCTAACTGCATAAATAAGATAATATAGCTAATATGCAAATTATATAATAATAATAATAATAATAATAATAATAATAATGGTACAATAATGATCATTGAAACAATAAAAACAGTTGATAAAACAACAATAATATTAATAATAAAAATAATAATGATATAAAAACTAATTCATAAAACATTAAATAACTTAAGAAAAAGAAACTTCTATAATCTAACTCGGCACTAAAGGTTTGTTCAATAAAGACCACACTAAACTTCACTACAACCCTTATAACACTTCCTTCGTTATTTCTCTGTTCTACACTGCACGACACCTGATTTCAAAATATATCACTTACGCATCGATTTATAAAACCTACTATTCTCAGTTAAGTTAGTAACTTAGTAATACCCCAAATTAATTTATTAAACTGTTAGAACTGTTAAGAATTGCTTAAATTCTGTTGAGGCGAACAAAAGTAGTAAACTTCGAATTACATTAAATATCTATCTCATAGTAGAATAAAGCTGTCACAAAGCAAAGTCGCAGCAGGGAATAATATAACTACCAGCTATAATGTAGTATATTTTTGCTCGTTGGATTTTTGATTATAAATAGTGAATTTGCAGGTAATTGATAATAGCTAATAAATTTAATACTGATATTCATAAAATACTGATTTTATACTGAAAATCATAAATGGTATCAAAACTAAGGTTTAATAATAAAAATGTAAATTTATACTCGTCGCCTCACTGCTAGTCTTATATTTATTTGTTTCATTTATTCTTGTGTGCAAAAAAAGAGACAAAATTAGTTCTATAGGCATGTTTTAATGCAGAATGCCTCTGATTGGATGTTCTATTCTGAGCTTTATACCAGCCAATCAGTGACTTTTTTATAGCAAGATCGAACTACTCAACACTCAACTTTTTCTCATTGTTCGTTTCAGCTCTCTAGTTTTTACAATGTTAGAACTGGCTGTAACGTCTAAAATTTCATAATAATATTTAAAAATTGAATATCATCTAGTCAAGCAGAGTGCTAGAATGGACAGAGAGGACGAACATTCTAATAATTCAAGAGCCAGCGAAAACAGTGAAACTTCTAGAAAGTAAGTATTACCAAAATATATTGTGATTTCCGAAACAAACGATTTCTCTCTCCCAAATGAACTATTACGTAGGAAACATTGAGGTTTATTAAGAGGTTTATTTGTGGCGTTTATGCGACAATTATACCTTTTAAAAATATGTAAACATTTTCATATTTTATACGTATTTATAATAATTTATTACAGCAACTTTATTTTATGTTTGTACTTCTCTTTTATATCCCATAAGAGTTACGCAAGAGAAACAAAGGCTATACTTAATTTCAGTAATATTTTAATGACATTTTACAATAAATATTAACAATTGAAAAGTTCCGGTCTTCAAGGACTAAAATCACAAGAGAGCGCCGCGATAATTACACTAATTTTTCTTCTCTTCAACATGTGATTATACTGATTTTCAACGAAATGCATCTGGCATCACTGCGTGTTCACAAACTAGTGAATTACTTCAATTTCATATCAAAGTTTTACAAACATGTTTGTTTTATAAAGCCTATGACCAGTGAACCAGTGTCAAACTACAACTAAACATAGTGTAAACGAAAAATATTCCACATATTAATTTCAATAATTCAGGAGTAAAAGGAGAGGTTCTTTAACTTTTAGTTAACTTTTGTACTCAAGAATGCACACGTTTAGTGGACGTGTTTTATATTCCGAGTATGGCTGCAGAATGTTCAATGGTTCATCGGTGTTTTGTTTGAACGTGACAATGTTTTAGTTAAATTTTCAGTGCTTGTAATGTGTCCAGTATATTTAACGTATGTTTTCAGCGTATATGTACAGTGTTGAGGATGTATTGAGTAAATACGCACGTGCAATGTCTGTGTTTTTACAGGTAATTAATATGCATGTAGTTTATCAGGTACCAGGTGTTTTTTAGCAGTCATTAGACAGGGAAGTAACATGTAAATGTTTTTAGGCAATTTATAAACAATTCTAGTATTGTCACATTTATGTAAATTGTTGTGCAGTGTTTATATTCAGTGTACTTAATCGGTGGGATAGCGTAGGAAGTGTAAGGTGACATTTACAAAATATATAAAACAAAATCGTGTTTGAAAAATAGTACTAACAAAAAGTGTAGTGAAAATGTGTGATAGTGATGTGAAGATAGAAACGTCGTTGATAGGCGAAATATGACCCTGCCAATTTATAAAGGTAAATATAGTACGTGGATGCAAAACTTTGCAATTACTAATAAGATCACCCACCATAAGTTAATCCTATTAATTAATCCCAAAGAATCTTGAAACAAACTGTAAACCATTCATGAATTCCTTATTTGTGACGATAAACGTACTGCGGAACAGTTTTTACAATTAGAAAACAAGCATATTGTTAATTTAAAAAAAGTTTAATTACGCATAAAAAACTCGCCAGTTACTAACTAGGCAGTCAATTAACACTCCACCTCCAATTTCAAACATATTTGCACTCAATGAGCTTCATTTTGGTTTAGTTCAATAAATTAATTCATGAAAATTTCCATGTAACTAATGTATAAGAAAATTCATGATTTGGAAAATGTTCTCAAAGGCGACACCTTATCAATCATTACCATAGTTGGGCCCAATACTTCGAAGACAGTATTTTAGATACAAAATACTTTCATAAACACATTTTAGATACAAAAAGCGTTTTAAAATACTTTTGAAAATACAGTCAATACTGATCCAGTTTCACAAGTTATTTCTGAAAACTTGGTTGTGGTTTGCAATTAGACACGTTTCCCTTCATCCTAGTTTTTCAAAAATTGTATCACTAATATTTCTTCTTGAAATTGGAATTGATAAGAGTGTCATTCTATTAAGATCAAACGTTTCCATTTTCCTGTGTATTGAAGAAACCAGATGTAAAGCTGATTTGTTGTAACGTCTTGACACTTATTCTCAGTGTGGTTAATTTTCCTCTTATATAAATTTGATCTTCTGGACTATACATTTTTGTAGTTCGCAAATTTAAAATATGTAAAATTATCAGTTCTCTAGTAAAAAGAATGGCCAGTGAACTCCATGGTCTACTGTACACCATTGCGTGCATTTAATAGTAATTATAAGGTGACTCCTTTTCGGAGGTCAGTCCTAAGTTGTTCTGTCCTTCCTCAAAGAATGTCCTCTTATGTGTTCTCCTTTTCGTTATTTTAATTTTTTTCACTTAAATTAAATATCTTTCACTAATTTTATTACAAAAATATTTTGCTACAAAAAATTAAAGTTTTAACTGATATGTTGTGAGAAACGTTTGTAATCTATATTTTCAGTATATCTATATCTATTGCGTGTACTTCCAAAATTCTTTTTCACAATAATTGCTCTGAATATTTTTATTCTTGTCGTTTACGTAAACTATTCACAGCAACTATTGTTGTGAACATTTACTGATCACGCAGAATCTTGCTGCAAAATATCCAATATGTTAAAAAATGATATATTGCAAAAATACCCCTTGTGAAAGGGACGTAAAAATAATTAAGTGTATTTTTGAGTCCGACAAGTCCTGACTTCGACGTATTGCTCGACTTTCCAGACCGAGCAAGTAGGGATACAATTGACGATTACATTTTTTATATTTGTTTTATGCTAAGACCCAATGTTTTACACGTATTGTTCATTTACTTTTTTAAATATTTTATGTTGTTACATTAGTCAGCTAGTCTCCAACCAGCTGCGGGTAAGTACAACTGATGATTACATTTTTTTATATTTGTTTTATGCTAAGATCAAATGTTTTACACGTAACACATATATAACTATTAAATATTTTATGATGTTCCATTAGCCAGCTAGTGTCCAATCAATATGCTTATGGTCGTACTGGTTTATGTTGACATGTGTAAAGGAGAATATGATATTTTCAATTATAAATAATTTACTTGATTTTCCAAAAAATAAGGAGTTTTTCCAAAACAACTACTCTGTCTGGGCCGTCACGTTCAAATAGGTGAAAACATCTGTGCAGTATAAAGCGTGGTTTGGATTAGGATGATTGATGCCCAGTATGAGTGGAGTAATATTTTCTAACTTAACTTATTGTACTAAAAATATTAACATTGTCGAAGACGTAGTCATAATTTTTCGTTTATAATTTTGTTTCATTCGTTCATTGATTATATGTTTTTGATGTACTTAATGTGATGTACATTTTTGTAGTGTTTCATGGCCGTGCGGAAACTTCTGTATTGTAACATAATTAAACGATTTGGATAATTTCTCTGAGTTCAGATTGAGTGTTGCTTTTAATTGCAAGCATGCCATAAACATAGTGATA